GCGTTTAAAACATCAAATAAACTTCAGGTAATCTAACAAGAAATGTATAGTCAAAACGACGCTAACATGACGGTGTTGAGTAAATGACGTCACAGCGTAAAACTCTGTACATAATGACTCGTTGGCCGTGAGTCAAAAAATTAATGGCGGACGAAAATAAATCGTAACATTTTGGCCCTTCCCGTTCGAATATTAGAAAGATATTTCAGTGAGAGGTTCTTAATGTGTTCAAGATTATTTCAGCAAAGTTCCAGCTCGAATGAAAGAGTTTTAATTTTGGAACGATTTTCGTCCAAGTGGCCCTTTAAAGGTAACCGTGCCTGTGCGTCAAAGCAAAGACGGCGGTGGCCTTGTAATGATAGAGACCTTTCTTAAGCTTACTGGAGATCGTCAGGGGTATGATTCGTTTAAGACTATCTCTTTTCAACACTTTAAACAAAACCCCATCTAACTATATATCGTTTTAAAGGCCATATAATAAAGATTTAGAAKATGATTTTTTTTATTTTCATTTTTTTTGAAAGAATGCCGGAGCCTTAAACACAAATCGGGCACGTTCAGTAGCGGTAACACCTTGAAAACTTATTGACATGTTTCTATCATCAGCAAGGTCACTGCAGTTCTCGCTTCGAGATATACTGACACAATTACATTTCAAGATAGCGCAGGGAACTGTGAAGAAGACTATTTTACGTCAGTTTGTGGAAATCTTCACAATTTGTTTTAAAGGGACAAATTAACATAAGGAAATATAAGCTTGTTCATGACAGCATTGTACGTATTTTTATTGAATATACATGATAGTCAATCATCATGTAGTTATTAACACATTAATGCATGGAAAAGGAAGTTGGCTAAACGGATTTTCAAAGAAATAAAGAACAGTTGTCATTTGGACTTTTTTTTCAGTTTCCCGCGCTTCTCACGTGTCCTCGCAACATATCTTAAACGGAAAACCAGTGTTTTATTACTCTTATAAAACAACGCATACATTCACGAAAAGTACTGTTTTATTTTTCGTACGAAATAAAAATGACATAAGCATTTTACAATAAATATTTTCATCTAAAATGGTATAGAGTATTGACGTCAAACTTATAGCTAAATGTATTTCGACCAATCAGAGCATGACATTCGTATTAGCAAAGCATAGCTTCCAGGGTAGTCTCCCCCGCGGCTGTTATAGTGCTGTCGCTATTTTTCAGAGCAGTGAAAAGGATTTTGGTAGTAGTAATACAATTTCGCGTTCCCAAACAGAACCCCAAATTTAAATGACTTCTCTTATTATATAGACTAATAGTTTGTTTTTTTTTTTTTGAATTTATTTTTAGATCCTTATGCTGTTTGTTATATATATAATATACATTCCGCTTTGACTGTGAATTTACATATCTAAATGTTTGAAGTGAGATCATAGAAGTCATAGACCAGTCCTGGGACTCACTTTCTGTCGGCTCCGCTCGATAGCTGGCCGCGGAGGGTTATTCAGTGATCCCGAATTCATTGTTCTACCTCCCTAGTTACTGTTGCTACGTCGGACAAGCTAATATGTGTTTTTGATAAACAGCATGGAACAGACACCGATTGCTGAAAATCGTAAATGTCTGTCTTAGAATCAATGCACCATCACGTGACGGCACTGAGCCATTTTAGATGACAGGAAAAATGCARTCGTTTTATATGAGAATGGATTTTATTGTTCTGCCATCTAACCAGCGGCAGCCCAAACTGTATTATTAGAGAGTTTTAGATTTACGTTCACTCGGCAAACGTGAAACGTCAGTTGACCAGTAAAAAATTATTTTAAATTACTGAAAAAGAATCGCAAAAAAGTCCAAGTAGTAGAAAAACAAAAGAGTATTTGCGCTTGGTGAGAAGGTTTGTAAAAGGTAAAGTAAAATACAGGGAAACTATGAAAACGTGGTCACGTTCGCCGTATGCGGGGAGAAAAAAAATTCAATCTAAAACTCTCTATTGGCGTAGCACGTGATGATGCAAAACCTCTATGATAACTAAAAAACCTTCTGAATTCGAGTTTGTTTATAATCAATTTGGAAAACTTCTAAAAAAGCCCGGGATCAGTGAATTGCCGGGGCCGACAGAAAGTGAGTCCGGGACTGACTAGAGGTATCCAACACCCATTATTGGTTGCTGTATTAGTTTGTGTTCTACATAACTAAAACCAAGAAATGCTTTACATATCTGTAAGCATCAGGGTTACTAGTCCATTGTCTGTTACTTGTTGATCATATCGTGTCTTAGGTATCAATGAACTATCTTTCAGTTCAATGTCGTCCATGTCAATCTCATAGCCTTTGTTGATATTAACGTTGTCATAGTCCTTGGTGTTGTCCAACATGAAGGTTTCGGTTACTGTTTGAAGAAAAGAGAATACTACAATGTTATGGGAGACAAAATACTGGGGTATGAATTTGAAAAATAACGTTTTATAACCTTTCTAGTTTGGGTGTGATGTTTATTACCTGATTTCACATATTATTCCATACAGTATACTTTCTTTGTTTAATGGACGCGCGTGAGAAGATACAGGAATATGAATACAACTGTACGAGTGGTCTAAAATAGCAAAACATAACGCCCATGCTATTCATTTGTTTAATACTTAGAGGATTTTTTTCAATACGTCCTCTCATCGTTTTCATCTCTTTTCTATCTTTTACTCTCTTTTCTTTTTCTCTTGTCTTAAATCTTCGAGAAAAAAACAAAAAACAAAAAACAAAAAAAAAAATGTAATAAGATACTAAAAACAAAATATCTAAACACGAAAACCCTACTTAGAAAAATACTAATAATCTTGAAAGTAGGCTAGGTCTGAGATACTAATAAAATCTTTAGATATATGATGGGCTAGGGTACTTGAAATTCATTTAAATATGTATAGATTCTGAAAGGTTGAGAAAACTGATAGATGATGATTGGCTGAAATACATTGAGCTGGTGCAAGTATGTGTAGATTAGAAGTAAACCGATAAAGCATAGGATAACTAAACAGAATGCAAAACAGAAAACAATTGAAAGCGGTTAATGAACGAAATAGAATAGAAAATATTTCCCAGAAGTCTTAAGGCATGCATTATACTTTGGAAATCGTAAAGTAAAAACGGAAACAAAAGCAAACTTTTACACTTTGGAGAAACAGAAGAAAAAAGGAAAGCATTTGATGACCAAAAATTGAAAGTGAATGAACGTGAGTAATGGGAATGGGTTTAATCAAGAGAGCATAATGTGTTTTTTAAGAGTTCGAATAATTTTTTAGCCAAAATAATCAAAAAAAATCTACTGCTATAAAGCGACTTAAAGGAGACACTGATAATTATCTTTGTTTCTAAGACTTCCCGCTATCAGCATCAGATTATTTCAGTAACAATTATCGCCGAAGTCGAAGGGAAAGACGAAATTTATGATTCAAAAAACGTTTATAGCATTACTTCCGCTTTGTCAAACTTTGAGAAACATCAACGCTCGAGCATACAGTGAATATCGTCTCAGACTCAGTGATCACTCGAACAATCAAAGCAGGTAAAACTCTATAAGTCTAAAATACACCGATCCCGCATTCAATGTTCTACCTSCTTGTACGTCAGAAAAGCTAAAACGTGTTTTTGATATACAGCACGGAACAGACACCGATTCACTGAACAAATATTATGTTATATTAAAATACGTTCCAGGTCACGACGGAGAGAAATAGCAACACACGTCCACGTGGCACATGATCAGTATCTATTATGGCATTTAATACTGCTTGAATTTGTTACTCATTCCTCTTCAAAAAGGTAAAACCGAATATTCTTCTCGAAGGGGRTGGGGTTGGGGTGTGGTGGTGGGTGGGGAGATAATTATGCACTCTAGCTGGTAAGTAACGAAGGTTATTGGCAAAATCAGTTACGGTTAATATAGATGTTAAAGGCAACAAAAATGTACTGTTAAGAGAACAATAATAAATTAGCTAGGTTATGATTACTTAAGCATCAGTTATAATTTCTCCCGTTTCCCATTTGTTCATTCTTTCATGCATACCTTCCAGTCTTGTTTTGGGGTCCTGTTTTTGGGGAACAAACTCGAGATAGATGATTCGTCATAACCACGTATCGTAACCACTAGAATCTTGGGGGAATTAAAATACACAAGCTTTTTAAATTAAAAATTGGCTTTAGCGATTTGATCGTTAATTTTCTTTATTTTCGTTTAAGGATCGGTGTTGTGAGTTCTGAGACTGATAAAGCCACAGGCAATCCAAACCAAAAACTCATTCAAATTGCGTTTTTTTAAACATGCTTTTAACGGTTGTGCTTGTTCAGTGTGTTAGGAGTCGTCAAAAGTATACGATATACTGCATCATAAGATAGATCATGGAAGTTCTTAGACCTAAAACCACAGGTTACCCAAAATAAGGATTTTTTTGGAAAAATTAGCGACATTAAAAAATGAATAGGATATTGAGAAACATAAATGGATTACACTAATGTTTAATGTTAGTATAAGGCAATGCAAGGAGCACAAACAATATGAACTTGGGTTTYCTGTGGTTTTAAATGGTTCGACTACGCGTTTAGTGTGCTTGTAATATGTAAAGCTGTCAACGGCTTTTTTTGTAGCCATAAAACGTTCTGTTCTCAGCCGTAAGGTATTTCATTGGTGGTTTGAGTCAAGTTGTTTAAGTCATTTTGGTTGGAGTGTAGCAGGTAAAGCCATCGCGAAGAATAAAAGATTTAACGAAGATTAAGGATGCGCAAGACCGCAAGTTCTTTAAGTGACTTGTTTTTCCCCCAAGCCCTTGCGTCCCTCATTAGGATTGAAAATATAAGAATCGATGACGAAAGAAGGATGGTTACCTAGCAAGCTTTGTATGCCTAGCCCGACTGTATTGTCACACTGGCAAGTCACTGGCAAGTCACTGGCAAGTCACTTGCTATATATCGACAACTGGTAATCCCTTCAATATTCTACATCCATTTCCAATTGTGGTTCGTCGTGAATTAATAGAGAGAGTTTTAGATTTACGTTCACGGCAAACGTGAAACGTCAGTTGACCAGTAAAAAATTATTTTAAATTACTGAAAAAGAATCGCAAAAAAGTCCAAGTAATAGAAAAACAAAAGAGTATTTGCCCTTGGCGAGAGGGTTTGTAAAAGGTAAAGTAAAAGACAGAAAAAACGATGAAAACGTGGTCACGTTTGCCATTTGCGGGTAGAAAAAAAGTCAATCTAAAACTCTCTAATATAAGAATTAAAGAGATTTCCATCGGATCTAGATTCAGCTGGTGTTCCTATGACGCCACGGCCCTCTCATAAACATTAGCCTATAAGTAATCCAAAAGGGCGAACGATAAACAACTGATAATCTTTATCAGTTTGTGCCTAATAGCTTTCTAAGCCTCGTCGGTCTTGCTTCCCGTATTCTTGTAGATAACGAAAGACATTGGTTGCTTTATTAAACTGGCATCCATCCCTTACCTCTCAAGATTCTTTATCTTAGGCTCTCTTAGCTGTCGGAATAATGTATTTACGCTTTTATTGGATTATATTGAGTGATGTTCTTGGATCGTTGCTTTTATTATTCAATGTTCAGAAATATATCTTACGAGTTCAGTTCATACTTCTTGATCAACAAGGTGCTTAAAATAGAAACAACCACGATATACAAAAGGGATTTCTTAATAAACATAATTTTAGTAAATGTGGCATGATTTGGATAGCAAGATTAAGTTCTTATGATATTCCATTAAGTTTACAGTTGCTCTTTAAAGATTGAAATGAAGGAGGGTGTTTTTATAATTTGTACTGATTTATTACTATGCCTTACAGCAGATTTAGGCGAATATATTAGTTTTTACATGCATGATGATTTCAAGATGAAAACAATTCAATAGTTTTTTATTTTGATTTTTTTAATTGGTTTGGATTGTTGATTGATAAATTATCAAAACCCAAAACTTTTATTAAAGGCTTCTGATTGGTTAATACTCAATCGCATGATTTGCACACTTAGTGTGCTGATTGGCTAATACTATGTCACGTGCTTAACTATATTCTGATTGACCGACCATTTGGTCACATGAGCGGTAAAATATTGAACACTTTTTTTTAGATTTATAAATACAAATAAATATTCATGACAATGTTTTTAGTTGACTTACTGTCTTCTGATTGGTTGATCCACTGGTCAGGTGACTATTAGGTCCATGAGTTAATCATCGGACTCATCATTGCTGAGTATAACGTATAATTATCAATAACTCGAGAAAATTCAATGGCTTATAAAAAACAAATGATTAGTTTGGAGGCGGGGAAGACCGGTGTACCGCGCATGCCGTTCCTGGACGTTACTGCAGTCTCATAATAAACTAAGCAAACCGCAGAATAATACGCAAACCATCCAAACGTCTACGTCTGGATTTTGGCTTTAAAAACTGCTCCGTCGTCTCCGTTGTCCCGCAAACATGGGATGGTTTCCTATTATGGCTAAAGATACAGGTCCTAAAGTCAAATAGTTTAGGGTTTGCTCCATGACGTGATGGTAGCCATGACAGGAGACACAACAAGAGTATATTTTCCCCCTTAAACTAGATTCTGCTTTCTGTCATGGCTGCCAACACTATGCAAGGGAACCTGTCGGGAATTTAGTTTAATCAAAACTTTTTAAAGGAATTATTTTAAGTTTAAGAAAAATTCCCCAATTATTGTAGTTGATTATTGAATCAGGTTAGACAAGCGTAGCTGCAGTGCCCAGCTCACAGCCTCATCGCTTTTCCCCAAAAAAATAATTTTAAAATCCACTCCAAGTATAAACGCAGAAAAATAACCAGTTTTGGTTAGAAGGCAGTTAGAATGCCGCCATTGTACACCCCATTAAGTGACATCATCCTCCATCACCTGATCGAGTAATGACGTCATCGTTAAATATCAGTGTCCTTATATTGTAAGTAATGCCTGTGTTAGATTCGATAATTGCTTATTTGCTGTCAATGGTTAAATTATATTGATTGAAGATTTCACTCAGTTTGGATTGAAAAGATATTAATCATTAATGTAAGAGTGCTTTTCTGCTGGAGACATAGCTTTTAGCTTCTAACTTAGACAGAGGAGCTTAATATTCATAGTTAGTCATTCCAGAAATATCGTTTTTCGATCCCCCAATTCTAGTTCAAGTAAAAAGAATTATAACCTATTATGGCATTTATTAAAGACGTTTCCATAGCTACCATAATTCTAATTATTGCACCCTTGGTTACCTATGTAGGATTCCAATGGATTGTATCTAGAAAATAGACACGACAGCAACCAGGGCAAAAGGGAACAAAAAAGGTAGAACCCTGGCTTAGAGGGTGGGGCCTAGTGACTGAAGGAGGCAGAACGGTGCTCTGAAGCAAAGACAAGATCTTCCTTGATAAAAAGCGAAGAATCTAACATGCTTTAAAGAAGCTTAGATCATAGGCAAATGACCTATAGCTGATGGACAGAGAAACAAATATGATCCGATGGGAATATTACCAGCCGCGTAAGGTGTTAGTCTATTTCACACTAGCTTCTAACATGGTGATGAACTAGAAGCAGTGTTTGTCACTAACACTACGCTCGTATGGTGTTTTTGATAGAGCACAATGTGTCTTTCAAATCAAATACCTATGCCAAAATTTGAAAGGATCATGTTTGACATCAGCCTTAGAGTCGGCACTTTCGAACTTCACATGAGCCGAACCTAATGTCATTAAAGAAAACCGCCCTGTTAGCCATTGTTTCAATGCATCATGCTTATTTCTACTATAAATTTTGGATTCTTGAAAGTACAAAGACCAGTATACAAAGTAAAAGAGTTTGCCTTATTGCWAAATGTCTAGGACATTTCGTGGTCGATAATGATATTTTATTCCTGTACGACGCATGTAAGGAGGGCTACAAGTCTCTTCGCTTTGGTTCAAATTGTTTTTCCATGTTAGTTGAAGTCTTACAGTTACTGTAGAAGTGTTAGCGTTTGTTACGTCTATAAAGCATCTTAGGTTAAGGTTGTTAGGTCATCAGCTGTTGCTATGGTTACTTACCCATAATGCATCTCCTGGTTACAAGCGATTTGGTTATTTCAGCATTAGTTAGCACAAGAATGACAAAGATAACAGACGGACAGATAAAGTTCACGACAAGGACAGACAGACAATTGAACAAACAAACAGATCAGACAGACAGACAGAGAAGAAAGACAAAGAGAGACTGACGCAGATATACAGACAGACAGACAGAATCGACATAAAGCCAGACAGACAGACAAGAAACGAAAGTATAATTTAATAAAAAAATGGAGAAACTTTAATCCCATAGAAACAAACGTATTTTTGATAAACAGTGACAATACGAACGTATTGAAGCTGATGTCTCTCACCCTTGCAGAATGAGGACTTTTATCCTCGAGATCTTCATTATTCTACTCGCTATCATACGTTTCTTTTTATGGATTTTTTTCTTTATAGATTTTCTCGTCCTCTCAGTCCAGGCCTCTTTTAAATCTGAAGAGACTAGATCTGGGCTTGAGGTTCTTTCCGCGCAATGTGATTCGATGAAATTAATCACGTGAGCAAAACAGCGACAAGAAAGAGAGAGAGTTTTCTTCTTGAAGTAAGTCCTTAAATTTCTTGTCCTTAAACCAGGATCTTATTTTAAAGTGAAAACAAAGCACACAAAAGACTCTGACATCTTATTGGCTTCCGCAATGAACCAATCAAATCGTAACGAAATGTATGTCATCCAATCACAGTGCTTGACAGAGCAGTCCTTTTTCTCACTCATAACCTCTTTCATTGTCACCAAAGTCTTCAGTTGTGTCATCATGATCATAATCCATGATTCAATTGCGGGCATAATTTTATTTTATTCCTTATACTTTTCATGACTATTCCAACCTACCTGCACTGCCAGTAACTTCATGGTGGTCTGTCTGCACACTCTTGGTCGAGTATCGGGTTGCTTTCGTGCCGTTGTCGGAATCAAATCGGAAAGCATGGCTCTGGTTTCGTCCAATGGTCGTTGCCACACCGTTAGTCATAGTTGCGGTGTTGAAGGATTGATCGTCTGTCCCCATGACAAAGTTGTACACCTATGATGATATTATTAATGATTAGGATGGTGTGTGATAGAGTGACGTGAGATGGGGATGGAAGGACATGGCGAGTAACTTAAATAACTATCGTTCTCGATTGACTAGCCTCTCATACATGAACAGGAACACGAGGCTAGTTAGTATCAACAATGATATTCAAATTGTACGCTATATTTGCATTTGGTCTATAGAAGCAAGAGAAAATGAGAAAACTAGTTTATTTTCTCATGATAAAAGACTCTTTTAGAATTGCGAAGAAGTTGAAAATGTGAAGCGATGGCCACAGCAAAGGCACAGAAGTGAAAATAAGATGAATGAATTAATGAACCAAGCACGCATAAATACCTTGGGTACAAACACAAGTAGCAGCGTAGCTGTCGTACAGATAATCAAACAAAGAGAGGATATGGCATACGGAGCTTCGTAATGGATGGTATTATCCAAGGCTGTAGTTACTATAGCACCAATGCACGATAACGTCACCACGTTGTATACTGACATGCCGATGTATTTGGAGTCATTTAGTGCTGCTATTGTAACATTACGTGTCTCCCAGGCCAGAAAGAGACCAAACAGTAAGAGTATACCCTTGTATACATACATAGTGGCCAGGAAGTAGGTTTTATATTGACAGGTGCATTGGTATAGGACTGGTACATAGATCTTGTCATTGTTGGTTGTTTCCTGGTATCAAATAATAAGAGTTGTGATGTTCAAAACATTTTCAAAGTCAAAATCTTGAAGGGTTGATCATATGAGTGCACATAGAAGCAAATAGCCCTTGACAGAAATGGGTTGGCGACTTATTTGTCGCGTACAGACTAGGAAATGCCCCTTTATCCGACAGTAGTCGCAGTAACATTRACAAAAAAACATTGTAAAGTAACTGTTATGAATGTCGCGTTCTAATTGGTTTGCTTTATGAGAGCACATTACACGCGCGCGCACTTTCCGTTGCGTCATTCCTATCTATTATTGTAATTTGTGTTTTATAAAAGAAATAAAAAAACTTGCTTGCTGTGCTGTGTGCTGTCATAAAGGACTTGGGGGTTGGCAGAACACGAGAGAAGTGTCCAGAAGCACTCCACTACGCGTCGTGCTTCTCCTAACACTTCTCTCGTGTTCTGCTAACCCCCGCGTGCTTTATGACAGCACACAGCACGCGCGCGCGTTTTCTATTTCTTCACTACAGATACAATATTGAGATTATGTCAAATTTTTGTTTTCTTTTTTTATCTGGATACAATTGGATTTGAACCTACTTTCACCAACATAAATCCAATAAATAATTCCAAGATTTTAAAAGATCCACTATGTCATACCCTCTGACATCCGCAGAAGCCGAGGCGTCGTATGGACTTCGGACTTGATTGACGGTAATTACGTCCTTCCGCCTTTGTTTGTACGGATTACGCAATAAAACATCAGAGGAGAAACTAGCTGACCCCCAGACCGTATCTACAGCTAATCCCTTGTACTATCTGCAACATTTATCGATTTGGAGGGGGAAATAATCTAGTTTATCCGTGGCATTTTTCACGGCTATTGGTGTGTTAACCTTCTAGAAACCAGGTTCAAAGATGGGGAGCGGGGGGGATTCATCGTACGTATTCCCAAGACACAATGAGTCAAGCCCAGCTGAATCAAGTTAATTCTTACTAACTAAATGGAAGCTCTTTCGTTTTTCTTATTGGTTTTAAAGATATACATATATTGATGTTTTTGCTCGTAATTCAATTCGTAATTGTGTAACCAATTCCTGTCTATTGTAATGCTCCTCTCAGTGTACGCGAGAAGGAGAGGCAGGGAGCGAGATAATGTTGGCAGTTGTAGCAATCGAAGTATATAAGATAAATAAGAATCCAACGGAACAACGTATTTTTAATGCATGTTATTCAGTGTAGTCTCAACAATACGTACCATTAAGTTAAACTTCAGTTTGTGTGCTTGTAGAGGATCATACGCAAACCAAAGAGATAGAAAAATGACATCGATGACGACTAAAGCAGCTACTATGCCAAACAGATGGATGTCTTTGATGGCCTATCGATGAACATATTCATTATCAATCCTGTTATAAATACTTATTTCAATGGAGATAGTCACCTGAAAAGCTAAAAAGCTGAGACCAACAAGGATTATTGGTAGATTACATGCTTCAATCGCTTGATAACTGTTGACTGGCACATTTTATACCAGTTACAGTCTCACCTCTTCTGAGCATCCTCAAGCTGCAGTTTGTATCAAAAAAGCTTTACTTGTTTGATATGAAAAGTTTATGGAATGCCGTTGGCGCCAAAAAGGATCGATTTTTTTTAGAGGGGTTGAAATTTTTTGCTGCTTTAGATTATTATTACATATAAAAATATAAAAAATTAGGTGTTCAAATTTTTATATTTTAGGCTTAGTAATCGCTAGCGAGTTCTTTGTATATTCTCGATAGCGAGTTTTCATTGCTTTGGGACAAATTATAGACCAACAACAGATTAAAAATGATAATTAAAAAAAAAATTCCATGTAGTCAAAGATAAACCAAGAAATATTCTTCAACTAGAGTTCAGGTGTGTATTTTTTAGCCGAACAATCGCATAGTTATTACTATAAAGAGCGTTACCTTGTCTTTCACTTTCAAAAGCTAAAAAAATATTCAAAAACATTTACATGCAAATGCCAACTTACAAAAAAAAATTTGTTATTTTGTATTTTGCATTGCATTTTGCACTATTAATTTTTTTATTTTGTCTCAGTTGTTCTTGTCAAATTTAACTAAATATATAAACTTAGTTAAGCTTGCTTTTTTATCTCGAAAAGTTTGTCGTTCGTGATTTAACAGATCAAAAACAGTTTTCTGTGTTTGTATTACGCGTCGTGGTTTCCTACGCTCCTCTCGTGTTGTCTCAACATCCCAAGTATTTTGATCAGAGTATCAAACACGGAAAACTGTTTTTGATTTGTTTTATAAAATGACAAACACGCAAAAAGATCGGAAAAAAAACAACAAAGCCTAAGTAAATTCTCTCTACGTGCCGTCACATTCAAACTGACCAATGAGCGCGCGCGAAAATGACGACAGCATGTTTTGATACTCTCATCAAACATGGTTTTCGACCAATCATAGCGCGCGTAGTATCCCAATTATTTTATAATTTCGTATCTTTCTCACAAATGAATACAGATGAAAACTGGTAAAATTGAATCTCAAAATCTAGTAAGCTTAAGCTTCTCGAAAAATAGTTAAGGCTTTTATGAAAGGAATAAAAATATTTTCAGGATAAGAAAATTATTTTTAACTGACACATTTGGTTTTGAGGGCCTTCATTTGACTAGTTTCACTTAGTTAATGATCTCCAGCTAGTTTTCTCTCTGATGCTACCAAAGCATTTATTTTCTTAATTTCATTGCGGTAAAAATACGGTTCTTTTTAAAACACAAAAATCTTCAAATGAATAACCAAACAGCCAAACATCATTGTGTAAAAGAAGTAAAAGTAAGCTTATGTTTTGCTCACCTTTTTTTAACCAGTTTTCAAGGCTGTTTCATAGTGTTGATTTGTCCATAAGAAGTTCGGAAATCTCCGAAATTTGTATTTTAATGAAAGACATCCAAGGCAAATTTCACTAAACTTGATACTGTAATGGATTATCTGTAGTTATTTTTCGCTTATCAAATAAAATTAACCGGAAACTCAAAGCGTATAAATGTTGGCTATGCAAAACTTTGTCGAAGAATTTTTCAAGAACAAAACTAGCCCCTGGAGAAAATAATATAGTGCATTTCGATTTCATTTTTTCATTTAATGTTTTTTTGTTTTTCAATATGGGGGACATTATCTTCATCTCGAAGAAGAAAAAYAGTTGAAGATTTTTTCTCCGATTTTATTGATCTAAATTGGGCTCCCTGTGTCTTTTGGGAGATCCGCATTTAGGCAGTGCCTAAATTTATATATTATATATTATATTTCCACCCTGTAATAATTAATCTGAAGCAACTTTTTTTTAATTATTATTAATTATTATTATAGATGTTTTGTATCAATCACGTAATACTTTTTTCTTAACCAAGCTTTCGGAGATAATTCTCCATCATCAGGGCATTGAAAATATTAATAGAGCGCGAGGTAAATTCAAAAAAACATAGAACTCATCAAAAAAAAAATTAGCCCCTTATAAAAAAATTCGATCCCTTTTGGCAGCAACGGTATTCTATACCAAGTTTCTCTTGATCCTCAGTGATCTTGAAGTGTTTGGTGACTAACTTGATTGAAATAAGTATATCAGATCTAGAAAACAAGTCATTAGGTGTTTCACTAACCATTTTTTTCAGTGTTTTAGCGGCAGTGAATATCTTGTGTACTCGCCAAGTTTTACTAAACATAGCGCCAAATGCCAACGAGAAGCCAATAGATAACACAGCCGTTCGAGCCTGAAATAAAACTTCTTGGTTAGAGAACGCTATCTTAACGTTTACCATGTTGAAGTCTACTTACGTTACAGTTGATACCGTAAGAGTGAAGTGAGAGAAATCGTCCATCCAACCCAAACAATATTACAGAAATATAACACAGTAAACACCCTAGGATGATAACATTATTGAGTTGAGGGGAAGACATCTTGATTGATCTGTGAACGATAACAGTTTTCATTTATTTATTTATCTATTTATTCGTTCTTTCGTTCTTTCGTTCTTTCGTTCTTTCGTTCTTTCGTTCTTTCGTTCTTTCGTTCTTTCGTTCTTTCGTTCTTTCGTTCTTTCGTCCCAGTTCATGTATGCCTGTTACCCTACTTACCTGTTTTCTCTGTAAACAATATTAAAGTAGAGAAAAACAATGGAGAGCAAGGCCCCCACAAAGGCCAGCAGCCATATAACAGCAATAAGCGTGACGGGGTTTAAGAGGAGGTCGTCAATGCGGATCATCTGGTCGATGGGAACACGGTTTCCTGTGATGACAGAATCGCATAACACGCTAGTAAGTAAAAAGTAGGTCCTTTCAAATCAATCCTCCTTTCGTACGTCTTGATACTCTTAAATAATTGTTTAAACTCCGATCCCGAGTGAGAGTAACAAGTTAATGACCGTAATCGGGCCAACAAAAAGAAGTAATCTGTATGAAATTTCAGTTTAAGAAAGTTTCAATTTTCAATTTTCTGTTTATCATTTACCAAAGTAGTCAGCCACCTTAACAGCTAAACAAGGTTAGCTGGTGTGAACGTGTCAAAAGACCAAAGAAATTCAGAAAACGTCCTTCGCATTACCAAATTATTTTGAAATTCATACATGGCGGTCATAACGTCAAAGCGCGCGAAAGCTGAGAAAGCCACATGCACATTTTAGGTCACGTGCACATTTTAAGTCACGTGCACAGTTTAAGTCACGTGCACACTTTTAGTCACAGCACATTTTTATTCAAGTGCACATTTTTAGTCACGTGCGCATTTCATTACGCGTTAAAGTAAGGCGTACTAACCTGGCCAGAGATGCTCTTCGCTTGAACCAAAAAATTCAAGTTTATCTTGGTACGTAAAATGTTGACCAACTTCAACCCAGCTTGCTGTAATGGAAGTGCATTTAACATTTATGGCCGTAACACATTAACATTTATTATATACATTTATTATATATTTTTGCGTAAATTAATTCAATACTGAAAAAATTAGTAGCTATATAATAGAGCGATTAAAACAGCTTTTTGCCGTGCTCAATTCAGTAATAAAGCACTCAAGAGGTGTCTACGGCTCCCGCGTGCTTCTCCTTACACTAGCTTCTTTCGTGCTTGCGCCACAAAAAGCTGGATTATTAAAGCGGGAGGCTTATGGACTTATTTATTTAGCACAACTAAGGTATAACAAGTATAACATTTTTTCCTCGAATTACCGTTAATACCAAGATCAAAAGGCCCTTTTAATTGTTCGGCTCAAAACTTTGAACGAGGATAATGATGTTAATAACCTTAATAAACTTTGTTTATTCCAACTGATTGTAAGACGTTGTCAGACATTCATATGGRCGCCTGTTTTTATTATTTGTAGTAAGTTTGCCAGTACAATTCAACATAACGGCCTTAACCGGATACCACCGTCAATTCCAAATGGTTTTTTGCATTGAGTTTGTTAAAAGATTTTTGTTGATTTAAAAAAAAAAAAAAAATCTATTCAGCAGAAACATATAAACATCATAAAAACAGGCCTAGGCATTATCCGTATTCGATAAACAAGATGCATTGTGGTATAGCTTGGGTAGTATATAGGGCTTGTTAAACAAAACACTTGTACCCAAGCTAGACCAAAATACGCAATGTTCACCATAAATGACAATACCGTTGCGCATCTGTTTGATTACTACGTGTCCCTGTCTCTCTCTTTTACTATCAAAGCGAATCGTTCCCTGCAACAGTGAAAGAAAAACAAATTTCAGAAATAATAGGAATATTACTATATACAAGAAAAATATTATTGCTATTGTGCATAGTAAAGCGATGAATATGACAGCAACTGCTGCAAAGAGCGAGGTTAAGTTTGCAACAATCATTACTCAAACGTCGGATCCATTGCTTCAACCACTCCACCCCTCTAGAGTGTATTTTGCATCACAACATTAACGAGACTCCTTAAAATACTAGCTCTGCATTCATTGCATACCTCCACCCTACCCCTCTAGAGAGTGCGTTGAATCATAACCTCCACCCTACCCCTTGTACTTTGATTTATCCATTATATCCCCCACCCCAGCCCTCTAGAGTGTACTTTGCATGACAATCTTACCGAGACTCCTTCGAATACTAGCTCTCTTATCGCCGTCCTAAATGCTCTCATATGAATGCGAGAAGTATATGTAAAATTATCTAGAGCTAGCCCGTCTTTTAATGCTTTGTCCATGACAAGAGCAGTGGTCCATACGGTATCGAATGCAAAAGGTGAGGCGGGGCCTGGGCTTGGATTTGTGGAAAGGATCAAGTTCCAGTACTCCGTTGACGTCTATTAAAAGAGAGAAAAAGTCAGGATGGCGTGGTGCTACTAATAGAAGAAAGTTACAAATACCTTGGAGTGGAAATAGATCAATCTAACATAGGTCATGTACAATGTGTATGACAGATCAATCCCTAGCATATGTCATGTACAATGTGCATGATAGATCAATCCATCCCTAATATAGGTCATGTACAATGTACATGATAGATCAATCTAACATAGGTCATGTACAATGTGCATGATAGATCAATCCATCCCTAACATAGGTCATGTACAATGTACATGATAGATCAATCCATCCCTAACATAGGTCATGTACAATGTACATGATAGATCAATCCCTAACATAGGTCATGTACAATGTACATGATAGATCAATCCCTAA